TCAACCCTGAGGTTCTTCTTTTTCAGATACGAGAGATATTTTCAGCTCCGATGACGAATTCGGGGAGGAACCATCTGAGGTGGAACACTGTTTAAGAACCAAGTGAGTTGACTCAGCTCTTGACACAGAAGTCAGTCGCCGTGATAAACTACTCAGGATATTGTTATGTTGGCCGGGGGGGCACTGGGTCAGTTACGAGAGCACATCTGATGAACCATTTGACCCCTAAGAGCGATAAGCATCTGAATTCTCCCAACAACATCACCCTCGAACCAAACATTAATGTTACGAGAATAAAGGAAATGATCACGAACTAAGTTAGCTCTTGATTGTTCAACAAATTCTCCTTATCAGCACCTTGGGAAATTTATAGAGAACAGTATGGAGAATATACATACTGTTCTAACGGTGTAAAGGGTTCAATATCGTTACAAATAAAACCATAATAATCACAGCGCCCGATCATGACGAAGGAAAATATCAGTAGGGACTGCATGTTGACGACTCAAAATTTAAAAAAAAATAACAAGCAAATTTCCCGAAAGCGCGGGAAAACGCGAGCCATGGTAACAAGTTGCGATGGCCTAGCCCACTATAACGTTATCTGTCGCTCTGTGGTAGAGAATCGGGGGGTGAAATCCGAGGTCTGAAGTTAGACTCTTCGTGGGAGGCCCAGATCTTTCATTTTCTTACGCACGAGATAAAATAAATAACATCTCTTTTATTATAGTGATGGGTTTTAGTTTCTAACAAGGAGAGTTTTCGCGATTTTTTCTTGAAGATCTCAGCACAGAGTAAATCTCTGTAGTCGCAAACGTTGGACACGGTTACATTAAAAAATTTTGAAAAACATTGAACAATTGTGTATGAGAAGAGCCTCTGGGTAGCATGTCTTGCAATTGTAGAGTTATCTATGTCACATTGCTGCCAGTATTAGTTTAATCGATAGCAAAACTTCTTTTTCAGATGGCCGGGTGCACTGATTGAAGTAAAAGATGAAAGAAGCTAAACGAAAGCAAAGAAAAAGCACCTATTTCAGGGTTCTACTTTGCAAGAAATGGCTTGAACCTGAGTAAGAGCAGCGGCGTCTTCATGGCAACAAGCTTCTCGTTACATAATCACGCTAGGGTCACGTGATCTCGTGTGAAGGCTGTGTGGCACGGTTGACATCTCACTAGAAATGGAGTTCGCTACGGAGGAGACCTCGATCCGTTGTGCTCAAGTCCCTTTCGAATCATAGAGATAACATTCGAGATCCAAAAACGAAAAAAATTGAAGAAGCATCGCAGTGAAAACGTTCAACCCATATTATTCCTTTTCTGTTACATTTTAAGAAACATTTGTTTGAAAGAGAGGTGGGGAAGGGGGCAGGGTGATATTAACCTGCACCTTATTCACGAGAAACCTTCCTGGAAAACCCTTTCTCGTTCGTGAAAACGATTTCATTCAATTTTAATGCGTCGGACATCTGTTACCTGAGCCACTTAGTCATGAATTCCATATAATCCCATACTTTATCATGCACAGCTCTCTGTTTTAAAGAAAGTAATGACGGAACCATTGGATTCGATCTAGATTCTTTGTCATCTTCGCTTTCTTTAGGTATAAGTACTGATCGACACCAAATTGAATTTGGTTCGGTGAAATCATTGTCCGTTTCTTTAAAAATGTTGTAATCGATTAATTTTGTTTAAGAGACCGCGGTATCAGCAATGGGTCCAAGGAGTTCAAGTGCTTTATATCATAGCAAGCTTTATTGAGTCCGGTTTTTATTATACGCAACACTGAACTGTGAGTGCCCTGAAGCAGGGAAACAGTTTGCACCTATAGAAACGAACGAGGACTGTACATAAGTTCTTTTTTAAGTAATAGCGTTCTATTTTTGTAAAGCTGATGAACACGCTTAAGTTTCCTACCTGATTGTGTATAAATGTTAAATCGCCCATTTGAATTATTTTCATGCAAGGAGGGCAGTGTGAAAAAAGCAGTATTTTTGTACAAGTGATATTAAAATCGTTATGGAAGGTCTTTCTTTTGCTGCATTGAATTTGTGACGCTTAAAAATCTCCATTTAATGCTTAGTCTAATGTTTTGGCGAGACTGATCCCTTAGTTATTGAAATGCTAAGATTTGAGCCCGCTGCAGATGAGGTTTTTGTCTTTCATCACCAAACTTCCCACTTTCATCTGGCACATGAATAAACCAGGAGACTGAGTCGACTTTAAGCTCAGTTTCCCTCCCAGGCCCTCTTCTCGCCTCTTCAATTGCCACTGTGGTAGCTCTTCTGTGACACTGGATAAGCTCTATTGCAAAAGAAAATCCTGGTCCAAGAAGTTGACCCACAAGTTGTCTTTGGCACGAACGTGCGACAAACGAAAATTCTGAGTTCCCACGAGGATTCCAACCTGAGTCCCTCGGATTATGTGGTCAATTTATTTTGTTTTTCTTTATCTATCTATAGTTCAATTCAGGACACTATTAATATCTTTCAGCTTGCCACATGCTTTTCGCATGTTCAATGATCTGGTATATGCCCTAACTCGTACATTTCGTTGTAGCTTAGTTGGTATTACATCGCCAGAACTTGCAGAGGTTGCAGACGTTTGGATCATTAATTCTCGTGGAGGACTCGTTCTTTTTTTCCATTTCTACCTTTCGTTAGAAATGGACAACTTCATTCATTCAAAAGCGTGTTCTACCATAACAGTTTTGTTCAGATAGCCTCATTTGAACACCCTACCGTCGGGGAAGGGGAAGAGTTAGCAGAATTGGATACAGTTGGGAAACGGTCATTATTTATCACCGGGGGAGAGGGGTAGGGGTGTTTGGAGGATTTTGGTTGTGTCACAATAACTTTACCTGATCCGCTCTTAAGGCTTTTTAGTATTCTGATGATCCCACTTCATTGGTGATAACTGACCCCCGCTCCCCTCCTA